TTGAAAAAAAAAATCCTCACACACAGTTTGTGAGCCTTCTTTGGGAATGAAGACCTTGCTATAAGGTGTTTTGTTTGTTTTGTTTTTTTCCTTATTTAGTGCTCTTTGACCTGTTGGAATAAGTTTGAGCTATCCTATGTAGCCACATTCAAAAAATTCTCTAATTTTAAAAATGTTTAGCTTTTTTTTTTCACTGCAGTTCACAGATTCACTATATGTAAGTCCCTATAGTTCACAGACACAATTCTAAGAATATGATATCCCCTTTCTTTTACCCTTCCTGAAAAATCTTTTTGTGAAAGACCAATTAAACTCATTGTAAATTGAAGTATGATATGATTTGATCTCAGCTTTGTCATATCATTTCCTGCTATAATGCATGTATTATACTATCTTAAGCATGCTTCTTTCGCCATAAAAACATTTCCTTCGGCAGTTTTAGAGTAAGATTTCCAATAGTTGGGAATATTTATGTTTTGTTTTGGTAGTTACACTTTTGTTCCTATGTTTATATTGCCCTTAATTCCTGGGGCTTTTGTTGTTGTTTCTAACCTTTTTTTTTTATTATTTATTTATTTATTTTTTTTTATTATTATTTCTTTATTGGAAAGGCGGATATACAGAGAGGAGAGACAGAGAGGAAGATCTTCCATCCGATAATTCACTCCCCAAGTGAGCGCAACGGCCGATACTATGCCGATCCGAAGCCAGGAGCCTCTTCTGGGTCTCCCACGCGGGTGCAGGTTCCCAAAGCTTTGGGCCGTCCTCGACTGCTTTCCCAGGCCACAGGCAGGGAGCTGGAAGGGAAGCGGGGCTGCCGGGATTAGAACCGGCGCCCATATGGGATCCCGGGCGTGCAAGGCGAGGACCTTTAACCACTTGCGCCACCGTGCCGGGCCCTGTTTCTAACCTTTTAACGTTTAGTGTTGTCAGTGAAAACTGACATCCTTTGAAGTCTATCTACTTCCTACATAATGGATGATGCTATTATTGTATTTCTTAAAGATTTATTTTATTTTTATTGGAAAGGCAGAGGAGGAGAGAAAGGAAGATCTTCCATCGGTTGATTTATTCCCTAAGTGGCCCCAATGGCTGGAGTTGTGCTGATCCGAAGCCAGCAGCCTGGAGCCTCTTCCAGATCTTCCATGTGGGTGCAGGGTTCCAAGACCTTGGGCTGTCCCTGATTGCTTTCCCAGGCCACAAGCGGAAACTGGATGGGAAGCGGGGCAGCAGGGACAGAAACTTGTGCCTATATGGGATCCCAGCATGTGTAACGCAAGGACTTTAGCTAGGCTACCACACTGGGTCCTATTATTGTATTTTTCCTCTTCTCTTTCTCCTTCAGTTGTTTCTGTCTCTTTCAGTCTCTTTCAGACGCATCTGTTCTGCTTTCTCAGTGACCATACTAGTCTGCACCCACAGAATATGAAATGCTGTCCGTCACTCATTCTGCTTTTACTTTCCTCTTAGAAATGCCCTGTGGGTGTTCTCTGAATTTTTCATTTGCTTCATGCCTATTTGGCTGTAAATTTGGTAGGTGAACGTGGGCTATATGAAACCTTGGCTGGCACTTCCTGTTGGCACACCCTGTAAGAGCTGCTCACTGTAGTCTTGCTTTGTGTGGTGCTCTGAAGAAGTCTGCTGAGGATAGCCTAAATGTTTATCTCCGAAACGGATTTGGGCTTTTTTTTCTTTTGCCTTTAAAATCTGATGATTTTACTAAGGTAAACTTTGGAGCTGTTATTTTAGACCTGGTGTTTCAGGGTACATAAAAGACATTTTTTTGTGTAAGGGTGTGACATTTCTGTTATTCCTGGATTGTATTCTGAGATTATAAGTTTTAATATTAATTGCTTCATGGTTTGGTGCTACTTTCAGGACTCCAGGTATATTCATTTTTGCCCTTCTTTTTTGGGCAGTTTCCTTTCAACTACTTCTCTTCAAAACTGTTTACTTTTTAATTTTCAATTACTTTGCTATTCTTTAGTTTCCTCTACATATGTACCATTTGAATTTATTCTCTGTTGGGTGTATTATAACTGTTCTTTGTGGTTTTTTAAAGATCATTTTCATTTAAAAGAGTTACAGAGGGAGATGCAGAGATGGAGATTTTTTCATCCACTGTTTTAATCCCCAAATGGCTGTAATGGTGCCAGAAGCTTCTTCTGTGTCTCCCATGTGGGTACAGGACCTAAGGGCCTTCTTTCACTGCTGTCCCAGACACACTAGCTGGAAGCTGGATCAGAAGTGAAGCAGCTGGGATTCAACCGGGCACCCATATGTGTTCTTGGCACAGTAGGCAGAGGCTTACCTGTAGGTAGAGGCTTTACCTGCTCAGCCATGATGCTGGCTCCAATTGTTCTTTGTTTTTAGCAAAGTTTTTAATCTTTACTTTCAATCTACTTCCTGAATTGCATCAACTTTAATGCATTTCTTTTCATTTTTGGCCTCGTTTGCTTTCACATTTCACTTCACATTTTTGTAAAAATAAAGTTTCATCTTTTTGGAAAGGCAGAGTTGTAGAGAGAAAGAGAGACAGAACAAGACAGGCCAACTCACCAGCCACTGGTTCACTCCCCAAATTGTCAAAATGGCTTAGATTGGGCTAGGCCAAGGCCAGGACCCAGGGACTCCATCCTGGTCTCCCACTTGAGTGGTAGGGGGCCTCAGTTCTCCCACCATCTTCCATTGCTTTCCCAGGTGCTCGAGTAGGGTGCTGGATAAGAAATGGAGCAGCCAGGACTTAAGCAAGCACTCGTATTGGATGTTAGCACTGCAGGTGGTAGCTTAATTTGCTATGCTATGATGCCAACCTGTTTTCAAAGTTTTGATTCTAGCTGGATATATAGGTGTATGTACATGTGTGTCTGTCTAAAACCATGAGATTTGGTTTGGTTTTGTAAATGGCACAGCCATTTTCTTTCTTTCTTCTTCTTCTTCTTTTTTTTTTTTTTTTAAGATTTTCCATTTGACGGTTCACTCCCCAAGCAGCCCCAATGACCAGAGCTGAACCTATTCAAAGCCATGAGCCAGGGGCTTCTTCAGGCCTCCCATGTGGATGGAGGGGCCCAGGCTTTGGGCCTTCCTCAACTGCCTTCCCAGGCCACAAGCAGGCCTCGCATTCAAGATGAGGTCTTTGGCCTCTAGGCCACCGCGCTGGGCTCGGCCATTTTCTCATGTAGTAAATTTGGTGTTTGTCTGTCACTAGGTTTTTTGAGAGGCAATGTTCCTAGCTCAAGGGTATTTTCTGTGTACTGAAGTGCTGGTTTTGTTTAAATTAAAAAAAATCCTTATTTTAATTTTATTTGAAAGTGTGTGTATGTTTGTGTGTGAGAGAGAGAGGGAGAGAAAGAGCGTGAGCAGGTGGAGGAGGAATATCTTCCAGCTGCTGATTCATTTCCCAAATGCCAACAACAGAGTGCCTGGCTAGCCGGAAGTGAGGAGTACACAAGTCAACCTGGGTACCTGCTGTGGGGAGCAAGGACTCAACCACTGCTGCCATGCATCGTGAGCTTTAGCAGGGAGCTGAGAGCAGCAGCTCAGGGAGCTGGCACTGGGACCCGGGCATCCCAAGCAGCGACCTAACAGCTATGCCAAATGCCCACTCGGAAACACAATTTCAAGTGGTGAACAGTGGTGGCTCAGGGAGGAAGTAACCCCTTCATTTCTGTAGCATCCTTAATTTTCTCTTCTGGCTTCCTTCTGTCCCTTCACTGCCATGTCTCCATTCCCCTCCTGTGTATCTGACTTTCTCCTAAAGCCAGGCTCTTTCTCTCTCTCCATCGATAGCCACGGCCACTTTCTGGCTCACTCACTTTCCCTTTAAAGAGAAACAATGATTGCCGGAGAACGCCTGTTGGAGTTTGAAGGCTTTTTCTTCCTTCTATTTAAGTCATTTGAAATTCAGTTTATGATATTCTCAATCCTAGTTATGCTGAAAGCTTGCTGTGTTTTTGCTAAGGATCTGGGTAGCTTCACTTGGGGTAGCCGTGGCCGCCTAGTTTGGGAAGCTCCTGGGCAACTTCTTATCAAGCCTGAAGTAATCTTCTTTCTTAGGAACATTGGAAACTTTATTACAAGGGCATCGCCAAGGTTACACAGATTCTATTGCAAGACAGATCCCTTTTCTCACATCCTGAACTGCACGGAGTGTGCTGACTTGGTTCTTCTTTTATGAAAGCGACTGATGAAAAAGATTTGAAAAATCGCTATTGCCTTCCGCTTCCTTATTTCATGTTTATTTAAAACCACCAGCACCTCACTCTTAAGTGCTCCGTTCGTCATTCCCAGAGAAAGGTTCCTTTGAAAAATCTCCCTTCTCAGTTTCCAACCTCAAGGCTCCCACCTCTGCCTAAATAAATAACTAACTCTGCCACCTGGGGATCAGGGCGGTTTTGCTGCAAGATTAGTAAGACAACTGCAGCAAGCAGCAGAAGAGTCGCGCCGGCAGAAGGAGGTCTGCGTACTTCCAACAGACCGGGTTCAGCCAGGGTCTGAGATAGTAGCAAAGCCCGGGGTGCGAAGAAGTGACACTCGGGACAGCAGGTCGTCCGTGCCACGGTGACCCAGAGTCTCGAGCAGCGTGCACGTGTGCGCGCCCCCTCCTGCACCCTCCAGCCGCCTCCGGGGACAGCCTCCGGGGACAGCCACCTGTCATTCACCGGCGGCGGCGCGGGCACGCCGAGGGGCGGGGCGGCGCCCAGCGCTCCCGGTGGAGGCCCAGCCGGCGGAGCCCGGCGTGCTGCAGCCATGGAGACACGACAGGTCCCTCCTCCGAATCTCACCCGGGCCCCCGCAGCCGCCGCCGATTGGTCGCCCTTTGCTCTCTGACCCGCCTCGCGGCCTTCCAGGCCGGCGCTTCCTGCTCGGGCGCCGCGCGGCGCTGCGGGCCCGGGGCGGAGCTCGGGTGGCGAGTGCGCGCCGCCGCCGCCGCCGCCGCCGCCGCGGAGCAGCCGCCGTGCCGGAGGAGGAGCCGCCGCCACGCCCTTCCCCTTCCTCCGCTCCTCCCCCGGCCCCCACAGCGCCCGCGGCCGGCCCAGCCAGCACTAGGGAGCAGCGGCGGCCGCGGCCGGCGGCCGAGTTGGGAGAATGCGGCGGCGCTCGCGGATGCTGCTCTGTTTCGCCTTCCTGTGGGTGCTGGGCATCGCCTACTACATGTACTCCGGGGGCGGCTCGGCGCTGGCCGGGGGCGCAGGCGGCGGCGCCGGCAGGAAGGTGAGTGGCGCGCCCCAGCTGCGCTCTGGCCCCGGCGCCCAGCCGGACCCCAGCGCCTGCCCGTCCCTCTGCTGCACCGTTGCGGCCCCCGACCCCTGTCCCGCGGCGGACCTCCCTCCCCACCCCCCGAAGGCTCCCCTCCGCTGCTCCTGCGGTCTACTGTCCCGATCTCTGCTTGGACCGCCTGCCCCCGTCCCGGGCCTCCCAAGCCCGTACCCAGAGCGGGGCTGCACCCGGCGCATCTGCGCGCCCAGGGCTCTGGAGAGGGCGACGCGTTGCTCGCCGGGTGGGCGTCTCCCTCTGTCTGTCCCACAGATTTTGGGTCCTAAACTGTCCCGCGGCAGGAAGTTTCGGGGTGGGGGTGTTGGAATGCACAACGGGGTGGAGGGAGAGGAGGGAGAGAGACGGCTGCCTCTCCAACGTGTCATGCACCGGAGAAGAGAAGAGTCGCAAGTTTCTTTACAGCCCAGCAATGAAAGCGGCTGCGAATGCTCGCTCCCTTGTCCCTGGCTACTCCGTGTGTCCGTGCCTCTTTTTTCTCTGTCCTTTACGTCTCGGGGCGAGGGCTCAAGGCACTTCTCCACGCGCAATAAAACCCCTGGGTCGCTGAAAGGTGGGGCGGGCCACTGTGTCCCTGAGCCCTGAACCAGGTCAGTCACGGCCATCTCCCTGGACTTTCCCCTGGCGGCCCCCGCGTTGCGCCGGCTACCTCGGCCCTGGCCCCTGCACGCGGGCGGGACGTGGCCTCCCGCGCTGGCTTTTCCTGGCTGCGGACTCCCCCCGCCCCCCCAACTCCATGCTGCGGCTTCAGACTGTCTATTCAATGAGTGTGTTGTTGGCCGGTGGCGCTAAGGCTCCAGGGAAAAGGCTGTGGGGACAGTGCAAGCCCCTTGGTGGCTCTGCGTTGGGAGCCTAGATTGAGAAGCCGGGATGATGTGGCTTGCTGGGAGAGCGCGGGGTTGGCTCAGGGCTAGGCTCCGGGCTCATGTGCCAGCCGGGTTGTGGCGTTTCGCTGGTTAATCGGCTTTGAAAACGTTATTTTTTTGGGAGTCCTGTATCCTTCAAGCTGTGGCCTTTGGTGTTAAGGCAGGTGGACAGCCGGTTGGGTAGGGCAACGAACTGGCATCCTGGAACAAGCCAAACGGAACTAATGATAAAGGACAGTTTAGCCTTGAGATCAGACCCCTGATGGTCACACTGAGGTTTGGCTGCTTCATTCATTCACCCCATTCATTCATTCATTCAATCAATCATTAATTCATTTATCTATCCATCTCCAGCTAATGGCCTTCGGTGGAGGTGGGTGTCTTTTGGTTCTTGGTCAGTTCATGGATTTGCCTTATCTAGAGAAGCAGTAAGCAAAAACACTGTCTGCGTGAAGTGGCCTCAGCTGCATTTGAGCTGCTGTTGTACTCAGCGCCCTTGTTAAGCCTCAGGTGTGAACCCAGAATCCCAGCATAGCCTTGCATAGGAGTGTGCATGCAGCCGGTGGCAGTGGTTGGGTCTTGGAAAACCATTCTAGCAGCGTTGAAGTGGAGTGATTTTTAAGAACTGTACTTCCCAGTAAAAGTGTGCCTTGGCCACTCACATAGCCTGGTGTACCCGTGAGACTTGGCAAAGCTTTCTGTCTTGCATGCAGAGGAAAGTAAACAAATCAGCTATCGTTCTTGGCATTTTACATTCTTGGCTTTGCCGCCTTCATTCATACAGGTGATTGGAAAGCAGCTGCGTGGTGTCAGCTGCCCAGAGGCTGGCTGGCTGTAGCTGCTGAGGGATTGGAAGGTCTGCCTTGTTGAAGTCTGCAGACCCCCCATAATGTGTGATCAGTAGTTGAAAAACAAGGCAAAACAAAACAGGAACCTGAGAACTCCTTGTAGCCTGGTGTAGGAAGGCGAGGGAGGCGGATGTACAGTTATGCCTGGATTGGTGACTTGGGACTCTGTTCTTTCTGTCAGTGGACCAAAAACATTTAATCCTGGCATTTAGAATGGTTTGGTGACTTGCTGGTTCACGGAGAGGTGTGTACATGCACTAGCTTTTGAAATTTCAGCAGCCTCATCAACTTAACTGTGGTGGGCCCTGCTGTAAAGAGTAGACGCTCTGAGATGGTTTCTGGAGGCAGTGGGTTGGACCCTGCTGGCCTGAGCCCTTACGCTAGGAAAACTGTGTGGTCTTCCTTCCTCCTGAACTGCTTCTGGAGCACTAGAAATCTGTCCCCATTTCGTCCTCATGATACAGGAGAACATATGGCTTGGTGAGCTTGGAAGGGGTGCACACGCAGCATGGTGAGGGAATGCATGTAAAGACAGAACACAGGCACTTGCTATATAGGTTTTAGAGGGAAGCGGGCTTACATTTCATCTCGTGTTGTTTCTTACTATCCCAGTCAGTGGATCCCGGGCCTCATTTAGCCCATTTCCCCACGTCCTGGCTGTCTTCATGGAATACCAGGCTTCAGAATCAGGCTATGGGGGTTGTCTGAGGGGAGCCTGCATGGGATTTCTGCTGCTTCAGCAGCCCGGGCTAGGCTTGTCTCTGTGTGCCCTGCCTGTTAAATAACTCATCGCAGAGCTGTTATTCTCTATTTGGCAAAACCCAGAAAGCCAGCTCACCTCAGATTGCAGATTTAATAAACTAAGCAGGAATGAGTGCTGAAAACCCACCCCAGGCACTGCTGCACTGCTCAGGGTGTTGTGTGTGTGTGTGTGTGTGTGTGTGCGCGCGCGCGAAAGCAATTTATGCATAATATCAGTTAAGATTACATTTCATTTACATTTGTGAAGCCTCCTCCACCCCAATACTTCCTATTTGGCTTTTTCTCTCCAAACCGATGATTTGCACTTCAAGGTTGCCTTTCCTAGGAGCATGATAATTTTAATCTTGCCAAGGCCTCCCTGGGCCCCCGTCTGTTGGTGGTGAGTGGGGCCACAGAGGAGAGGACAGCCTTCCCTTGGAAATGAGACTGCCTTTGGGTCTAGTGTAGCTGTGTAGGGTGGTAAGGGGTGGGCTCTGCAGGATGTGAAGAACCATCCGTGCAGATAAACTGTGCCAAGCCTGTGACACCCAGCCTTGGCTCCTCCCACACGCTTGGTACTTGGGGGGAAGTGATGTGGAGACAAGGGGACCCAGGCCCCACCACAGTCCCCGCTGCTTCACAGGGTAGCAGTGCCATTCCTGCCAGAGCCAACACAGGTGCTGCAGCCCTTGCTTTCCTGAACAATGGTGGTGGGTGTGGGGGTGTTCTCAGAATCTTGCGGGAGGCAGCGGGGATGGAGTGGGCGTCTTCCTAGAATATTAAAAGGACCTCACAGGGCCGGTGAGTTGGCCCTCAGCAGGTGAAGTTGGAGAAGGCATCTGGGAACAAATTGTCAAGATTGTTTCAAGTGCCAGTTTGGTTAATCCCAGGGACCCAGTGATGTTTTTGAGCTGGATGGTGTGCATCCAAATGAAGGGAAGTGGTCCAGATTGACATTCCAGTACTGGGTGAGACATGGCTCTCTACTTTCTGCTGAGTGACTGCTACCGAAGTCTTGATCTGGATCCTCATTTCCTAATCCTTACAGTGGGGAATAATCACTCTGGCTTTGTGGCCCTTGTATGACAATTCAGGACTTTAACTGTTTTAGATAAACAAGATGCATGAAAATCCTAACCAGCTCTTTAGACAAATGGAGTGAGCCAGGAATCTCAAGTGTCCTCTTGATTGCCACAAGTTGTTGATGTCTTTCTTCTTTGATCCTTCACCCGTGCCCCTGAGGTCTACCTGATTGGTTTGTCTGGGGCTTGTACTATGAGCCTTTGGTTGAAGGCGGATCAGGACTGGCTGTCCTGAGTCATCCACCTGGGCTAGCTCTTTGGCCCCTCCAGGTGGACTCAGAGCACATTTGCCATTAGTGGATTGCTCAGCAAGAGAGGGCGCTCAGGACACAGCAGTTGGAATGGCGCTGGTGGTTGTGTCCTTGAGTGGGGTCTGCTGTGGTGGGGAGGGAGGTTGTGGGCTGTCCTGTAACCCGGCTGCAGTCAGGAGGGGACATAGATACAGTCACAGGTGGCGTGCATGGTTAGGCTGAGCTTCTGGCTGCCACTCACTTTAATTACTCTTAGTAGATGTGGATTGGATGCAAGGTACTGGGGTGGACACAGCACACATTGCCATGTATTATTGGGGTTTAAAGACAATGCATTTGAAATGAGAATTCGGAACCATGTTAGGGAGAACAACAGGGGAGGAAAACACAATACAGCCAGAGAATCTGGCAAATGATGTTGTGTTATAAACTTTTCCTCTTTAAAGAAAGTGGGATTTCCATATTCTGAAGTTGTGTTGTGGCTGCCTGCAAGCGCTCCAACATAATGGAAACAGATTGTGACTGATAAACAGAACAAAAATAACAAGCCCTTCCCTGGGCCCTCCAACACCCACGAGGAAGAAGCTGTTGCAGCTGGGGTAGAGTGGGTTTGCCTTGCTCAGGGGCCCCTCAACTTCTGGGATTTGGTGGAGTGGAAGCTCATAAGGGTTTCATAGAAGCCACAGATTCTCTGTACAGTTTCTGTGTCAGAAGGAGAGAGAGAAAGAGGGTCAACAAAACACACTGTGGGGGAGTTGAACACATAGGTTTTCATGGCTGCTGCTCACATTTTGCAGGTTTCTGAGAAGGGAAAAGTCCTTCTGGGAAGATGCCAGTTTAATTGTCAAAGTGGGCAAGGCTGCTGCAACTTCGAACAATGCCAAGGGCAGTGAGCTTGATGGAAGGATATGGGGACCCAACTACTAGCTGGAGTAGGCTATGGGGTGCTGGCTGAGATCCTGGGAACTAGGCAGGATGTTCCTGGGGAAGATCTGCGAGGTCTCCTAGGGAGCCCTGCTCCCAGCTCCCCAGGTCCCCTTTGGATGCTTCCCTCCTGGTGAAGCCTGTCCTGGCAGCGCTGTTTGCATACATGCTTGCTGCCGAGATGGCTGTGCCTGGTAGCTCTCCAGACGGGATACGCTCCCGAGCATC